GGGGGGGGGGGGGAGGGGGGGGGCTTCCCCTATTTTGGATTAGAGAAGATTTTTCAATTATGGGTTTTCGTATGATTGTTAAGCACATGTATATTTACAGCTTTTTAAACTTGTATTGAATTATCTATGCAGGTCGGTGGATATGCAGTTGAATATCAGAACTTAGCTTTTGTTACAATTCGAGGATCTGGGCATTTCGTTCCCAGTTATCAGCCGGCTCGGGCACTCACACTCTTCTCTTCGTTCCTTAATGGGATGATTCCCCCCTCGAATTAGAGCCCAAGCATCGGAGCTTAAGGACAAAGAGACTAGCAGTTACAACCATATCAATAATAATGCTTAATAATTTCCTTTTCTATTTAATAAAAAGGTTGCAATTGTATTATCAAATTAAAATTATCTTTCTTATCAATTTCCTTCAAGCTTTTATTTATATATATATATATATATAAGAAACTTCCATTAATTCACATAGGAGTGGTAAGATTTAGAGAAGAAACCAAAACACTAGAGCATTTTCTCTCCAAATTATAGAATTTTTAAAATTAAGTGCAAATCTGGCGAATACATGAGTTGCTTCATTTTTTGGAAAAATGGATCCCAAAGAACGAAGTCCTAAAGAAACCCTTAGCATACTCTTGAATTAATCAATAAAAGACCCAGCATCTGAGAAATTTCTTTGCATTTGTCCAATAGCCTCAATGATATTCCTTGAGTCATCGTCTACAATAATATTAGAACAACTCATTTCCAAAATGCAAAACCAACTGCTTTAGATGCCAAGCTTGCATTGTTATAATAATATATTTGGTGGATGGAAATGGAAAGGGAAAGCACGTGGAGTCAAGTCTTAGCAGTACTTACAATTAATTGTATAGCCCATGATTTGGTGACCACAAATAATAAAAAGGGTAAATTTCCTTGACGCTCCCTTGAGATTGATCTAATTGCAAAGACACCTCCTATAATTTTTGAAATATCACTATCATCTCTTGTCAGATCATGTCGATCAACGAACTTAACATAGATTGTCATTTTCTTGAATTACCCTTTAAGGCTTCAACCTTATTGTTTACCGTTTGACCCCCTATGATTTCTCAATTACCTTGCACACACCCCAATTTGATTTATAATTTAGTTTCATCATATTCAACTTTAATTTCATCAAATTGGTATCTAATTTTTTTAATACAAATATTAATTTCATCACACTAACACTAATTTCATCAATTAAACAACAAATTAATATTTAATTTCATCAAATTAATATTTTAAAATTAATGTTTCTAATTAAAACATTCAATCTATTTATTTAATATTTTAGTTTCATTAAATTGAACTTCAATTTCATCAAAAAACTTTATTAATTCAAATATTAATTTCATTACACTTACCATAATTTCATCAATTTAACACCTAATAACATTTAATCTCATATATTTTATCAAATTAACATTTTAAAATTTAATTTTGTCAAATTAACATTCAATCTATTTAATTTAGAATCTAGTTTCATCAAATTGACATTTAATTTCATAAATTTAAATATTAATTTCATTACACTAACGCTAATTTCATCAATTTAACATCAAATTATTATTTAATTTCATCAAATTTATATTCAATTTCTTCAAGTTAATATATTTAATTTCATTAATTCAAATATTAATGTCATTGCACTAACACTAATTTCATCAATTTAACACCAAATTAATATTTAATTTCATCATATTCATATTCAATTTCTTCAAATTAACATATTTAATTTCATTAATTCAAATATTAATTTCATTATATTACACTAATTTATAAATTTAACATCAAATTAATATTTAATTTCATTAAATTTGTATTCAATTTATTCAAATTAACATTTTAAAATTTAATTTTGTTTGATGAAACTAAATTCGAAATTAATTAAGTTGAATGTTAATTTAAAAAATTGAATTTTAAAATTTTAATTTGATAAAATTAAATATTAAGGTGGTATTAAATTGATGAAATTAATATGTGAACTAATAAAATTAAATATTAATTTTATGAAATTGAAGCTCAATTTGATGAAATCAAATTCTAAATTAAATAAATTGAATGTTAATTTGAGAAAATTAAATTTTAAAATATGAATTTGATAAAATTGAATATGAATTTGATGAAATTAAATATTAATTTGGTGCTAAATTGATGAAATTAATGTTATTTTAATGATATTAATATTTGAATTAATAAAATTAATGTTAGTTTAATGATATTAATATTTGAATTTATAAAATTAAATGTAAATTTGATTAATAAAATTGAAGAGTCAACTTGAGAGCTAGTTTGGTATTCCACTGTACAAAAAAAAAAAAAGCTATGACACGAGTTATTATGTTACATATCAGTAACGGTAGTGGCTGTAGGAGTATTAGGTGAAACTTGTGATAAACTATAAGGGTATGCACGGACATTTTAGAAACTATAGGGGTGCCCTATAATTAGGCCAATCTTAAAGGGATGTCAGTGAAATTTACCCTAAAAAAACAACAAAAATTGGAAAAAAAATAGACTTAAGACTAAACCATAGTGAAAATGTGAGGTCCACCGAGTTTAATACAATATTGACAGTTACGACCCAACAAAAGTTAGTTAAAAATTCTCAGGTGGCAACATTAATTAACAACCTTGCTAAACTAAATTACAACATTTGATGAGATTAATATTGTTTGTAGTATTTCAAATATATTAAAATTATTTATTGAATTTTTGATTTGAAACATATAATGAATAACAAAACAATAACAATAAAGTGCGAAACAGTTACATAGAAAATTGAAATAGTCATAGAAGAATTAACGAAACAGTTACACGTAATTGTTTGTTAAACTAATATAAATACTAATTCGATTACAGAACAGAAACTGTTATTGAACTTTAAGTAGATTAATGCTAGTATTTGACAATATATCCTTAAAACAGATTTCGCTCCCACACACAACGCTTATGGAATATAAAATGTCTGTCTCCCAAGATATAATGATCTTCACACGAGTAGAAGTAGCATTCTAATCTACCCGTCCAGCGAACCAGAAATTATGTTGTGTACTCTTCGAATGCAGACTGTCTTAATGATGTATGAGACTACTTTAAATGACTAAGAATGTATATTATGGAAAAAATTTATGTGACTAGGTTATTTATAAAGAGAATGGTGACTGATCCGGACAGTCACCATATGAACAGATGCAACCCAACAGTCACATGCAGCCAAAAGACACTTGTGTAACTGTTCTGTAGGAATAAACATAACTCAAATTTCGGACTTAAGGGAAGCAAAAAATTCCAACCAGTGCGATCCAATGGATACTGGAAATTAAATTCTGGATCAAAAAATTCACGTCAAATTAATTAAACGAATTTTCTTCAAAAAAATAGGCTTGATCACATCCACACCCACACCCGGGTCATGGAGAGACCGACGGGTGTGGTAGAACTAATGGCATGTAGGCTCTTGCTCCATTCATAAAATTATGGTACCTCTTGGGGCTCAATCCCATAGAACAAATTTAGCCTACAAATGCCCATGTAGAATTTCTTCCTCAACCAATGTGGGATTGGTGTTAAATCTCACATTGCGCAACATTTATTTTCACATTTCAATAGAGTCACTTTGAAGCCTATTTTCTCATTCATTTCTTACTTGATTTGAACAAGTGAATATACTACGTTATTCTCCTCACGGAGTAGAATATGGACTCATGAAAGTTTACTCAAAACAATGAATGGGTCTTACTTTAATTTAGACTCAAAGTCGATCAAAATTTAGTTTTTACACTTAAAAAACTGTATTAGTCTAACAATTAGTTGATATATATATGTGTTTTTACATGGTAGATTCAATTTGACTGTTTACAACTTCTTTCCACATAGGTATTTCAGGAGTGAATATCGTTTCATTGAAGTTTTGAGGTTTATTTTCTAACAAATATATTAGAAAATCAGAATCATAAGACTTAAAAGTCTTTGCCCTCTTATTACATTAAAATACCTCTTCACTTTCTTCATCTATAGACTCATGGTCTATTTTACTAGTTGTAGTATCATGAGTTATTTTAAAAAAACTCTCATCACATGCATTTTTACTAGAAAAGACATTTTCAAAGAATGATACATTTCTTGACTCAATGATTGTATTGACATGTATATTAGGAATATCAGATTTAAGGACGAGAAAATGATATGCACTGCTATTTATTATATAACCAATAAATATACAATCAATAGTTTTAGATCCTATTTTAATCCTTTTAGGAATAGGAACCATCACATTAGTCAAATACCCTCACACTTTTAAATATTTATAAGAATGACTCCAACATTTTCATAATTCATACTGGATTTTGTCTAACTTCTTTTGGGATAATTTATTTAAAATATAGTTTGCTGAAAGCAAAGTTTCTCTTCACAAGTTCTGAGGTAATCCTGAACTAATTAACATGGTATTCATCATATCATTCAATGTTCTATTTTTACGTTCAACAATTCCATTTTACTGAGGTATATAAGGCGCAGAAATTTGGTGAATAATAACATGTTCTTGACAGAACCTATCGAAAGGTATGTCATATTCACCACCTCGATCACTTCTTATTATCTTAATCTTTTTATCAAGTTAATTTTTAACCTCATTCTTATAATGCATAAATTTTTTCAATGCTTCATCTTTACTCCTTAGCAAATATACATAGCAATATCTTACGCAATCATCAATAAACGTAACAAAGTACTTATTTTCACCTCTAGTTTAAACATATTTCAAATCATATGTATCACTATGAATTAACTCTAGAGGTTCAGTTCTTCTTTCAATATTATGAAATGATGTTCTAGTTATTTATGATTCAACACATGTCTCACATTTATGATTTACATTAATATTGAATTTAGGCAACAATTCTAAATTCATTAATTTACGCAAAGTATCAAAATTAACATATCCTAATCTACTATATCATACATTGGAAGACTCAAGCATATAAATAGAATATGTGTTCTTATTATTAAAATCAGATACAATTGTCATTACATTAATCTTAAAGAATTCATCGCTCATATATCTCTTGCCTACATAAATTCTCTTTTGGTGAGTACAAATTTGTCAGACTCAAAAGTTAACATAAAACCCTTCTTACTCAACAACGATCCAGACACAAGTTTTTTTCAAATTTCTGGAACATGTAACACATCATTGAGAGTAAATTCTTTTTTAGAAGTCATCTTCAATATAACATTTCTTTTGCCTTCCACTTTGGAAGTAGAGGAATTTTTCATAAATAGTTGTTCTCCATCATTAATTATTTCATATAAAGAGAACATTTTCTTATTCGAACATATGTGTCTAGTGGCCCCGGTACCCACTCACCATTCTTTGGTATTTTCACCAAGTTCACTTTGGATACTACAGGAGAAAAACTCATGTTAGAAAAATTTTCAAAAAAATTTTCTACCTATGTTATATTGGTTTGGACAACCTTTCTCTTGTGGCTCTCTTGTGCTTTACAGTTTTGACAATTCTTTGCACGATGTTTTGATTTATTGTACACAAATCAGTTGCCTTTGAACTCTCTGAATTCACCACTCTTGGCCTTTTGTTGACTAACATACTTCATTTTCTTGTTGATTTTATGTTCCTCTTCAATCACATGTGTCTTTGACTTTGTAAAATGATTACCAACTTTCTTTTCGAACACTCTATTGTCCTCTTTAATCCTCAATCTCGTGATGAAGTCTTCAAGTTTCATTTCTTTATGTTTGTGCTGTAAATAATTTTTAAAGTTCTTTCAATTTGTCAGTAATTTTTCAATAATTACAGTCAATTGAAAAAATTCACTAAGCACCATCCTTTTGGCATGAATCTCATGTAGGATCACTTGAAGATCTTGAACTTGACTTATGATAGTCTTAAAATCCACCATTTTGTAGTCAAGAAATCTGTCTACAACAAATTTCTTCATTCTGAAATCCCCTGTCTTATATTTTTTATCCAAGAATTCTCACAGCTCTCTAGCTGTCTTGATTGGACTATACACATTATATAATGTGTTATCCAATCCATTAAAGATATAATTTTTGTATAGAAAATCAAAATATTTCTATGCATCCACCGCAGCAATAAATTGACAGTCGGTTTCATTCTCACTACAAACAGAAGCATTCTCACGAATAAACTTTAGAAGATTCAACGTAGTGAAATAAAACAGTCTTTTCTATTGTCATATCTTGAAATCGTTTCTATTGAACTTTTCGGGTTTCTCCCCATGAGACGCATGAGTAGGTATAAAAATAAGCATCACATGCACAACATGATTTATAGTAGCAAGAACATTATTATCATTTGTAACCATTTCTGATAAACATAAATTATGAAATATTCAAAAATAGAAAAACAATAATACTTTTCAAAGCAAATAACTAAAACAAAGACAATATATGTTACTGTTCAATGTCACTATTTCAATGTTACTGTTTAGTGTCACTGTTTGGTGTAACTGTTTAAATCATATGTATAAACAAAGTCACTGTTTGGTGTAACTGTAACAGTTTGTTGTGACTGTTTAAATAATATGCATGAACAGAGTCACTGTTTGGTATTACTATAACAGTTTGTTGTAACTGTTTAATGTAACCGTTTGAATTTAACACATAAACAAAACATGCAATTTTTCACAAAAATTTTTTGAACAATTTTCAATATTTTAGAACAGTTTAAAATACTAAAACATTTATTAGAAACACAACAAGTAGTTATACAAATTATTTATTTTTTTTTTTGGGAGGAGAGAGAGAAGGAAGATTTGAACCTTTGATCTCAAGAAGGTAAAACTTTCACAAGGTAAGGAGTACCATTTGACCAAAGGCCCATTGTTAAGTAATTATACAAATTAAACTTTGTCTTAAGATTGTTGTTTGTGGTATTTCTAATATAGTAAAATCATTTATTAAAATTTTTGATTCGACACATGTAATGTATAACAAAAAAATAACAATCAAGTGCAAAACAATTACCCAGAAAATTGAAACAGTCACAGAAGAACTAACAAAACAGTTACAATAGTCTTAACGAAACAGTTACACGAATATAAATACTAGTGTTTGACACTATGTCCTTAAGAAGGATTTCGCCCCTACATACAATGCTTATGAAATATAAAATGTATGTCTCATATGATACAATGATCTTCACACGAGTAGAAGTAGCACGCCAATCTACCCATCAAACGAATCAAAAATTGTGTTGTGTACTCTCCAAATACAGACTGTCTTAATGCTGTATGAGACTGTCTTAAATGACTAAAAATATATATGATGCAAAATGATTATGTGACTGGTTATTTATAGAAAAAATGGTGACTGATTCGGACAGTCACCATATGAACAAATGCAACTCAGAAATCACATGCAACAAGAAAACACTACTTGTGTAACTATTCTATATGAACAGACACAACTCAGATTTCAAACTGAAGCGAAACAAAAAATTTGAACCAATGCGATCCAATGGATACCAAAAATTAAATTTTAGATCAAAAAATTCACACCCAATTAATTAAACGAATTTTCTCCAAAATTCACGTGTGGCGTGACGGGCGGTGCGCGTGTATGTGGTAAAACCAAAGATATGTAGACACTCGCTCCGCTCATAAAATTATGGTGCCCCTTGGGGCCCAATCCTATCGAGCAAATTTGGCTTATAAATTCCCATGTAGAATTTCTTCCTCAACCAATGTAAAATTTGTGTCAAATTCCACATTGTACAACCTCTATTTTCACATTTTAATATGGTCAATTTGGAGCCTATTTTCTCATTCATTTCTTACTCGATTTGAGCAAGTGAATATACTACGTTATACTCTTCACATAATAGAATACGAACTCACGAAAGTTTACTCGAAATAAAGAATAAATCCCACTTTAATTTAGTTTCAAAATCAACCAAAATTCAATTTTTATACTTTAAAAAATTATTTTAGTCTAACAATTAGTTGATATATACATGTGTTGCATGTGTATATTCTTGAGATATGAACTTCTAGATCTATTTGTTAGATAAGAATTTAGATTTAAATCATATATTGTTAATAATTTTAAAAAACTGTGAGGACAGTTTTGAACTATAATAGAATACAACGGAAAAAATATATGATTTTGCAACAATAAAAATTTTAAAAAAAAATTCCTGATTGGTAAAAGAAAGTTGTACATGAATTGAGTACAATCGTAAAAAGTAATAATGGACACATGCAAAAGTTTGTCCATGAAGCTTACGCTGCTCATATATTTGCCTACGGTTCAAGTGAGCTTTTTGAAAAAGCATTCTCTCATTGGAATGAAGAAGAATATTGTTGCTTGTCGGCCAGATATCTACACACATCCAATCCTCTTAAAATCATGGTGCACTGCCAACAGGTTTAATGAGTTTGACAAAGTGCAATCTTAGTTTTCTGGCATAGCATCCCGGGAAATCAAGCCCAACAAACGGGGCAATCCTAGTAGTAGACACATAAGATAGAATGGCCTTCTTAAGCACTGGATTGTGCATAAAGTTGATCATGACCATAATTTGCCCTCTTGACCTTGAAACATCTGTGTAACCCAACATCAACACTAATGCCAAATCTTGGTTTCCATCCCCATTTCAGGCCAAGTCAATCCTTCACTTTACATTTTATAATATAATAAGGTTACACATGTCGACATTTTATATGCGCGTGAATGTATATGTCTTTTATATTATAAGCTTGATGTGCATGTGTGATCCTACACCTCATCCCTTGGAGCTGCAATNTATTTTTTATTTTTTTAAATTCTTTTAAAATATATATACATATTTTACTATTATATTTTTATATGAAATTAATGTATACATAAGATATATAGACAAATAAGATACATCTCAATACAAATAANCCACAAACACCTTAATTCACTTGACTATGAAGCAAAAGAAATTTTTTAGCTATGTTTTAGCTTTGCAAAACATATATGTGATCAATATTGTTGATTAGAAATACCCAAAGCAGTAGGAGCTTAGAGTGTGAGAAACGAAGATAGACTGCGCGGCTGCATCTAAACATACATAAACTTCTCCTAAAATGGTCGAAACTTGATAATGGACATCTTGTTNATTCTTACTTTTCTTCTTTACCAATCATGATGTTTTATTTATCCCTTCAAATTTCTATCCTTCTAATTTTTTATCCTCTTATTTTTTTCATCGTACTAAACGGAGCATAAAAAAAATCGATGAATTGATCATTTGCCGTCTGGGAAAAGGATGTTCTAACAACAGCTGGCCACATAAGATTTTCAGACAACTATGTCAAACTAATTTTACACAAACAACGATTATTGTCTATAGCCTTAACATAATATATCCTCGTCCCTACATTCCTTCCACTCACCTATATAAATGCATGGGACTTAACANAAACTAATTTTACACAAACAATAGTTATTGTCTATAGCCTTAACATAATATATCCTCGTCCCTACATTCCTTCCACTCACCTATATAAATGCATGGGACTTAACAAAACTGCTCAACACTCCAAAAACTTATGTCAACATGAAAATGGAGGTCTCACCTCTAGCTTGGCTGCTGCTAGTATTACTCTCTTGCCACCAACTGACTTTCCCTACCCTCTGCACTGCCAACCAAATCAACAAGCTTAACGAATTGATCGAGTCTCAAAGATCAAGTAATCCTCCTCGCACAGAATCACGGGTAGAAACTGATTTTGTTGACAGACCAGTCTACGTTGGACCTCAAGATGGGTTGATGGGAACTGATAAGATTGATGCTTTGCCAGGACAGCCAGAAGGAGTGGACTTTGATCAGTATGCAGGATATGTTACAGTTGATCCAACGGCTGGAAGGGCATTGTTCTATTACTTTGTTGAGTCGCCACATAATTCTTCCAGCAAACCTCTGGTCCTATGGCTCAATGGAGGTAATCTAATAATTCTATTTTCATCAATAATACAGTAGCATACTGAATTCTAAAAGTAACAAGGTTCAAGTTCAAAGCACTATTCTGCCTGATTTTATTGGTGTTCTGAGTGCCATGAATAACAGATATTAAAAATGGTAAATTTATAAGTATTCTTGTTGAANTAGAAGAGAAAACGGAACTTCCCATGCCATGTTTATACGTACCAAATCCTAATGCTCCGTTTGGTTGAGGGGATGGAAAATAGAAAAGATGGAAAGTAGAAGAAATATATTTTCTATCCTTCAAAGATGAAAAGTAGGAAGAATACGCTTTCCTTCCTTTGTGTTTAGTTGGATGGATGAAAAATAAAAATGACTATTNCTGTAGCATAAAAATACACTTCAAGTTCACGAAAAGTTAACAAAAAATCAGTCGATCTCATTCTCAAGAAGTTTTTGGCTTTCCACAGCCTCTATTGATTGTTCAAAGTTATAGAATGCATGCATGAGTACTATTTTTTGGCATAGGATAACATAAAGCCTTTAGATTCATCGAATTATAATCCAACCCATCTGTTTGACATACCTCTCTCTCCTCTCTCCTCTCCCACCCCCCCCCCCCCCCCCCCCCCCCCCCAAACAAAAAAACCCCCCCCCCCCCCCCCCCCCCCCCCCCCCCCCCCCCCCCCCCCCCCCCCCCCCCCCCCCCCCCCCCCCCCCCCCCCCCCCCCCCCCCCCCCCCCCCCCCCCCCCCCCCCCCCCCCCCCCCCCCCCCCCCCCCCCCCCCCCCCCCCCCCCCCCCCCCCCCCCCCCCCCCCCCCCCCCCCCCCCCCCCCCCCCCCCCCCCCCCCCCCCCCCCCCCCCCCCCCCCCCCCCCCCCCCCCCCCCCCCCCCCCCCCCCCCCCCCCCCCCCCCCCCCCCCCCCCCCCCCCCCCCCCCCCCCCCCCCCCCCCCCCCCCCCCCCCCCCCCCCCNAAAAAAAAAAAGTCAAAGATAAAAAAACACAAAACAGTACTGTCTCATAGAAGTTAAAGAAATTTCTGATCACATTTCTGACTGCCTCTACCTTCTGCAGGTGTAATATGCATCTGTGTTTTTGAAAGGAATGACCCAGTAAAGATTAACATAATGAACTCACCAAAAATATAAAATAAGAATTATATTTACATAAAAAATTATTTGGCATTTTGCAGTTANTTGAATAAGATTAGGGGTGATAATAGAATCGAGTCGTGTCGTGTCAAATTCATGTTGATTCAGTACGTGTTTGTGTCGAATATTAATCAAACTTAACTTAACTCATTTAACTAATTGTGTCGTGTCNTGCAGTTACATAACGTTCAAAATTTAGTGCGCAAGTGACAAACAGACAGTTCCTTTGTGGAAATTATTATCACGCCTGGGTCCAAAGGAATCTTCAGGAATCCACAAACATAACATCCCAAAAGTCTGAAGTGGGTGGGATGGGCCANGTTGCAAATTGACCTATTTTTTGTTGTATCGAGTTCGAGTCGTGTCATCGTGTTGAGTCGAAAATTTTAACTCTTAGTTAAGATAGAAAAAATATTTTTNTTGGCCCACTTCACTTTTAATGTCTTCGGAAATATGATTAATTTGTAGAACTCATCCAAGTTGAACATGTTCAGATTCAATTTTGTGGTGGCCAACCAAGCTTAGAATTTTCCTCGAGTACAAACTGGCAAAGGTTGGCAACAATTTGAGCTGAAAATGAGTCAAAACCAAAATCCATTTCTTAGCAAAAAAATTTATACACAATATAGACAGACGTTCATAAATCTATTAGAGAAAAGAGATAGAAAGAAACATAGATTGTCTGGAGCTATTTGAGACTCATGTAAAAAATTAATCACTAAATTTGTGTTTGGTTCTGTGTCGTGCCACCATGTCACGCCCAAAATTATAACCTCAAGCCTAAGCTAGAAAGCTGAACACAAACTTAATAAACACCACCTTATTCTTCCACAAACAATTGTGATGTATTCCTCCACCAGTACTTTCCTCCACTTCTCCTCNCAAGCCTAAGCTAGAAAGCTGAACACAAACTTAATAAACACCACCTTATTCTTCCACAAACAATTGTGATGTATTCCTCCACCAGTGCTTTCCTCCACTTTTCCTCGTTCTACCAATACACCTACCTAACCCATCTTCCCTTGGGCCATACTTGCACCCCAGTACAATGGTGACTTCCGCTGCTTGTTTCAAATAGAGCCGAGATCCTAAATTTGACCTCTATAGCCAAACAAGTGCCAAGTAAACCACCACAAGTGTTAGAGATCAACTTACCTAAATTTAACTCTATTTGTTTACCACACGTGTCCATCTAGTAAATGACTACTTCAATAAACGGCTTACCAGCATGTTAATAATGTTCAGGACCAGGTTGCTCATCCCTTGGATATGGAGCCATGGAGGAACTAGGACCCTTCAGAGTCAACAGTGATGGACAGACTCTATTCCGCAATGACTATGCATGGAACGAAGGTAAGTGGAATCCATGTTATTTTGTGAAGTTAATGAAGACGTGCTATGGAATTAAATCAACCAACAATTCACAGTGGCAAACGTACTATTCCTGGAGTCCCCGGCTGGTGTGGGTTTTTCATATTCGAACACAACTTCTGACTATGAGAAAACCGGAGACAAAAGCACAGCAGAAGATTCTTACACTTTTCTTATAAACTGGCTTGAGAGATTCCCCAAGTACAAGACCCGAGACCTCTTCATAACTGGAGAGAGCTATGCCGGTCATTATGTGCCCCAGCTTGCTTACACCATCCTATCAAGGAACAATAACACGAACCAAACAATCATTAATCTCAAGGGCATTGCAGTGAGTATATCAAATCATCGTTTGCTATTTGAATTCTTTAGTTTTGATCACACTTCCATTCAGAAGACTAAAACCAAATTTCAATAAATGGTGCAGATTGGCAATGCTTGGATAGATGACAATACCAGTACACAGGGAANGCTTTAGTTTTGACCACACTTCCATTCAGAAGACTAAAACCAAATTTCAATAAATGGTGCAGATTGGCAATNTCTTTAGTTTTGATCACACTTCCATTCAGAAGACTAAAACCAAATTTCAATAAATGGTGCAGATTGGCAATGCTTGGATAGATGACAATACCAGTACACAGGGAATGTATGACTTCTACTGGACACATGCTTTGAATTCTGATGAAACCCATGCAGGAATTGACAAGTACTGCGACTATCTTACTGGAAATTATTCAGGCCCATGCTATCAATATCAAGGTCAAGGAGAACACGAATATGGAAATATCGACATCTACAACATTTATGCTCCACTTTGCCATTCATCGGGAAGCAAATCTGGTCCCCCTGGTTCTGTAAGTCCATACTCTAGTGACATTCATGGTTAGCTAGGAAGGCACACATACTTCGCAGAGGGACGCCGTCCAGTGTCGAACACGGCAGTTAGAGGGGTCGGATACGGCTAAAAGTATCATGAATAGTGAATTCAGTCGGAAACGACTAAGAGACAAGATATGACAAGAAATATTTTTTAAAAAAGTGTATAAATAGACTATTAAAAGAGATGTTACTTCTATTTTTTTTTTAATATAATTTTTGTTATATAACTTATATACTATATGAATGGCGATAGATGTAACAAGATTTGATGAAAATTATGGATATTTATTTTGATCTATTNGCTAAAAGTATCATGAATAGTGAATTCAGTCGGACACGACTAAGAGACAAGATATGACAAGAAATATTTTTTTAAAAAATGTATAAATAGACTATTAAAAGAGATGTTATTTTTATTTTTTTTTTAATATAATTTTTGTTATATAACTTATATACTATATGAATGGCGATAGATGTAACAAGATTTGATGAAAATTATGGATATTTATTTTGATCTATTTTAATTTTAACCAAAAATTTATGTTTACTAAGTCTTATTATTAATATTGTTATAATATAAACTTTATTTTTAATATATTACAATTCTATTATTATTAAAAAATATATTATATTATTTTATTCATATCATTGTCGTACTCGTGTCCTATATTTTTTAATTTTATCATATTCCTATATCCGTACGGTATCAAATATGATACTTGTGTCCATACTCTACCATGAAATAAGGAAAGTAGTGAAAACAGTATGATCGAAAGAAGATAACTTATGGTTTTTTATTTTTTGAAGGAGGGGGAGAGGGAGAGGGAGGGGGGAGGGGGGGTTGTCCACTGCATCATAGAGGTGGTAATANGTCATATCATTGTCGTACTCGTGTCCTATATTTTTTAATTTTATCATATTCCTATATTCGTACGGTATCAAATATGATACTTGTGTCCATACTCTACCATGAAATAAGGAAAGTAGTGAAAACAGTATGATCGAAAGAAGATAACTTATGGTTTTTTATTTTTTGAAGGAGAGGGAGAGGGAGAGGGAGGGGGGAGGGGGGGTTGTCCACTGCATCATAGAGGTGGTAATACAATTCTTGTGTTCTGGAGACAATTTCATAGTTGGATTCAACTAAAAGGAGTATTACACACACGTGGTCGTTGACTAGTAATGACTACACACACCCTTTGTACTTAACTTGAGATTAGAATGAATTCTGAATGAGTTCACAACTTTCACACCATTTTTTCTTTTAAATTAATTAGAATGCTCAAAATTGAGACCAGAATGTCATCTAACAAAACCATTAAGGATTGATTTAGGACTCCCTATTTGAGCAAACCACCATANATGGACACCCTTTGTACTTAACTTGAGATTAGAATGAATTCTGAATGAGTTCACAACTTTCACACCATTTTTTCTTTTAAATTAANGTTTTCAGACAATTTTTTGAGATGTAAACTAAACAAGCCTTAAGTTTTTAGAATATATAATTGTTTAATATGGTATCAAAGTAAGAGATTCTATGCTCGAATCACGCTGCCATCCGAATTATTAAATAGAGTTTCACGTGTTAAGTCCAAAATCTAACAGGGCACGTNTCACACCATTTTTTCTTTTAAATTAATTAGAATGCTCAAAATTGAGACCAGAATGTCATCTAACAAAACCATTAAGGATTGATTTAGGACTCCCTATTTGAGCAAACCACCATAGCAGTTCATTCAAAATGATCTTTATGTTCCATAATCAGGTGAAAGACTTTGATCCCTGCTCCGACTACTATGTCTCCTCCTATCTGAATCTACCTGAGGTGCAAAAAGCTCTTCATGCCATGCAAACCAGATGGTCGGCTTGCAGGTACTGTCCTTTTATTTATATTATAGTATCATACACATGGTAACAGGGGTATCACACATCCCAACCTCAAAATTGATCAACTTCTCAAGTTTGACCTACGCATTGAACGTCATCTTATATCTAGATATGTATCATGTTCAATCAAAACAACTAACTAGCTTCCCTTCTGAATCTTGCACAGTGGTGTTGGCTGGACAGATAGCCCAACAACCATTCTGCCCACACTCAAGCAGCTCATGGCAAGCGGTATCAGTGTACGGGTCTACAGGTAAGTCATACATGTTTCAGCTCATATTATTCACCAATATCCATTATTTCTAGCATTGAACACTTGCAGTCTTAGGTGTGTTGATTTGAATAGTCTTCTGACAGAAACGAAAGCCTCAGAGGCGGGGGCAGAACTTGGCCATTTCATTGGGGGCAGATTGAATAAAAGATCATTAAAGAATAATTTGTCCTATATTTTTAAGTTAAGGCCTTATATCAAAAGATCCCCACCCCCTCCCCACTTCCATCGCGCGCGGGGGGGAGGGTTACATGAAGATCGTGTAGTAGAGCCTTGGGTCAAATAGCAAGTTCAGTTGCATCCTTGTAATATTCTCAGACTTATTCTACCTCAACTGGCCTGAACTCATATTTATAAGCTGTTAAAGTATAAATACTTAACTAATGCCCTCTACAAGAGTTTAAGGGCGTGTTTGGTTTAGTTTTTGAAAACTATTTTTTGTTTTCAAAATTTTAAAAACACTCAAAACTTATTTATTTAATTTTTTTGTTCTCCAATTTTTTGAAAATTTTGAGAATTGAGAGGTGATTTTAGATAACAACAAAATGATATTTTCATTATTTTTTAAGATAAAATGAAAACAAAAGAAACAACTATCTCTAAATTAATGAGGTCTCCCCTTCGAGTTTCATTGGAGACAAAAAGGAAAGATTGTTTCATTTTCTCAAAAATCGTCTCACTGAGCTCCCTCTCTGTCTATTCATTCTTCTTTTCCACCTCTCTCTGTTTGTTCATTCTTCTTCTCCGCCTCACTAAGCATCTGTGTGTGTGTATGTGTGACTCTATCTCTATTTGTTGTGGTTGTTACCCAGCAATTGTGTTGTTGTCTTCGATGGTAGTTGTGAGTTTCGGTGGTGAGTCTTGGTTTCGGTGGTGGTTGTGGATTTTGGTGGTGGTTGTGGGTTCGGTGATGAGTCTGGGTTTTGGCGGTAGTTGTGGGTTTTGTTGGTGGTTATGGGTTCGGTGGTTCACTGTGTTTTGATGGTGGTTGTTCACTGTGGTCCACTATGTTTTGGTGGTTTACTGTGTTTTGTCTTTAGTTGTTTACTGTGCTTCGATGGTGGTTGTTCACTGTGCTATGTGGGTTTCAATGGTTCATTATGCNGCACGTCGAGTCCAATCTTGACAGCACTTACAATAATTTGCATTACCCATGATTTTGGTGACAACAAAAAATGGAAAAAGATAGACCTGACAAAACCAAGTTCAGCAACAGTGATGGCATTAGCTACCTTTTTTGGCCCCATGGATAAGCAAAACATAATTGAAATCACAATTGGCATCATTCACCAAATGAATAAAAATATTAAAGATCAAATTTGACTAGCATTGAAGGAAAAAAATATTAGAGAAATAAGTAATAGACAATTCTAATCCGATTTTCAATCTCTCCCTCCCCCAAAATCCAAAAAAAATTCAACCTTCAGACAATGGATAATACATTGAGCATGTGTTTATTTTGTCCGATGCAAAAAAAAATTCCTTGAAAACACCATCCATGTCTTCAAATTAAATCCTTTCATTGAGCAACTGAATTAAATAAAAGAATAAAATACGTAGAGCATCAGTAAATTTCTTATGCTTTTTATAACAAAAGAATATCCACGGCCTGTTAGCCCATGGGATGAATATAACAAAAAATATTAACATTCAAAACAAAAAATAATAACATTGAATATTAACATAAGTCGATAACATGAACATAATATTATNATTTTATAACAAAAGAATATCCACGGCCTGTTAGCCCATCGGATGAATATAACAAAAATTATTAACATTCAAAACAAAAAATAATAACATTGAATATTAACATAAGTCGATAACATGAACATAATATTATTAAATGGTAAAATAAGTCAATAAAATTGAACAAATAATATGAAATAGTAACATTTCAAATCAAAGATAGTAATATTGAACAGTAACATGAAACATTAACAAATAAAAAAGTGAGCGCAATAGCGTTTTGCGCAGTGGCCATGGGTTGCACGGTAAGGTTTCTAAAGAAAAAGAAGAATTGAAGGAGAGCAATCCAAAATTTTTTAAATTTCAGATCTGAAATTGGGACAATATAAAAATTGCAAGCAGTTGAAGAATTATGATCTCCACATCAATTTGAAAACTCCTTTTGAAGATAAAACAATCTATTAAAGGGTGTTAGAGTAATAAAAATAAAAAAGTTTTTAGAATGAACTTAACTACCAAATAAAATTATTAATATAGGACTTAATGACACAAATGTTTAAGGCTCGAACTTGAAGTCTTCTAAGTCTCGTAAATAGGACTGGCCCAATTATCACTTGTTTTCTCTTTTTATATTTGTCTGTCGTAACAAATGAATACCACCAAATCATTGGGATTGATCCGATATGTAACCCAGTAACCGTTAAAGTTGGCCCAGTAGATAAAAGTGAACCTCTTACCTCTTTTTCTTTAGGCAAGCTAACTCTACAGCCGTTGATGGAAGCCCCGTTCTTACCCTTAAGTAGGACTGTAATTGGATTGTGTCCTGTTAGTTTTGTGTTTTGTGTCATGTTTAGTAGTTGTTGTGCCAAAACTTATTCAANGCAGTAACCGTTAACGTTGGCCCAGTAGATAAAAGTGAACCTCTTACCTCCTTTTCTTTAGGCAAGCTAACTCTACAGCCGTTGATGGAAGCCCCGTTCTTACCCTTAAGTAGGACTGTAATTGGATTGTGTCCTGTTAGTTTTGTGTTTTGTGTCATGTTTAGTAGTTGTTGTGCCAAAACTTATTCAACCCATACCCCATGTGTTTAGAGTCATTTAATGTCAGATGTTGTCTTGGGTTCATATATCATGTGTAAGTTGTCTATAAACCGAATTTAACGGATTAGTATCATATTTAATTGATTTCAAGAAACTCATTTATTCGGGGAGCTGCTCCATTACAACTCCAATTCGCTAAAATTCAAGTCAAATCTGCCAATTTCGTGTCTGTNCATGTGTTTAGAGTCATTTAATGTCAGATGTTGTCTTGGGTTCATATCATGTGTAAGTTGTCTATAAACCGAATTTAACGGATTAGTATCATATTTAATTGATTTCAAGAAACTCATTTATTCGGGGAGCTGCTCCATTACAACTCCAATTCGCTAAAATTCAAGTCAAATCTGCCAATTTCGTGTCTGTTTCGCAAACTGTGACTAAAATTGGCAAACCTGCCCTTAGGCTTTGCAACATCATGCGTAGCCGATGGAAAAAGGAACAGAATATATCAAGTTCTATAATGTAAAAAGTAAAAACTGTGTCATATCATCACTCACATACAGTGATGGCATTAGCTGCCTGCTTTGGCCCCATGGATAAGCAAAACATAATCAAAATCACAATTGGCATCATTCACCGAATGAAATTCTAGCAAAGCAGTAAAGCATGGAATAGGGAGGATAGCAGATTATATCTCATACATTATTTGATAAATTCCTTGTCTGCTTGGTATGTTTAGATATAATAGAGTATACACTTACCAAAGTGACTTCGAATATATTTGTTTCCGTACTAAAGTACCTACCTTGAACTTAAGTGAAACTATTACACGTAATTTTGTCACTCACTAATGGTGGGTGATCTAATTTAACGGACACTGTAGGAAAAATATTAGAGGAGAACTGATGCAAATTGTTCCCAAATAATTAGATTAAAATAATCCTCACAACATATTAGCATTCAACCTGTGAAGCAGAAGAGAGTAAGACAATTTGAGAAAAAACTAGTTAATAGCCCAAGTATTAAATATGAGAGAAAACGGAACTTACCACGCGATGGTATACGTACCAAACCCAAAAAACATCGATCAATTGATGATTTGCCATTTTGGAAAAGGATGTTCTAACAACAGCTGGCCACATAAGATTTTCAGACAACTATGTCAAACTAATTTTACACAAACAATAGTTATTGTCTATAGCCTTAACATAATATATCCTCGTCCCTACATTCCTTCCACTCACCTATATAAATGCATGGGACTTAACAAAACTGCTCAACACTCCAAAAACTGATATCAACATGAAAATGGAGGTCTCACCTCTACCTTGGCTGCTGCTAGTATTACTCTCTTGCCACCAACTGACTTTCCCTACCCTCTGCANGATATCAACATGAAAATGGAGGTCTCACCTCTACCTTGGCTGCTGCTAGTATTACTCTCTTGCCACCAACTGACTTTCCCTACCCTCTGCNGATTTTGTCATTCTGTCAGCTGGTTTTCTTCTCCTTCAGCTGCTAATTCCAGTTGAAATTTTCATTCTCCAGCTGAGGGTATCTTTTTTTGCTATCTGATTGTTCACGTCTCTTGGACTGCTCAGCTAGTTTTAGCTTCAGAATTTGGGTATATCTCAGTTGGACTGATTTGTTCTAGCTGATTTTTAATGTAGNACTGCTCAGCTAGTTTTAGCTTCAGAATTTGGGTATATCTCAGTTGGACTGATTTGTTCTAGCTGATTTTTAATGTAGCTGAGGTTTTCAACGATTTGTTCCAGCTTGGAGAATTAGGCAGCAAAGGTTTTTAAATTGAGTGAGTTGGAAATGGAATGGTGGACATGGTACATACAAGTGATTTGTTTTTATTTCCTTGTGATCAGGATTTCTTTAACCTACTTACTGTATTATTGTGCAATTATCTTAGCATTTATGTCCTGTTAAATGTTCAGACGACATTTTCTGTATTTCTTACCAATTTAAAGATTCTCAGTATAAGAAAAAAACCTTTGCATGGTAATCATCACGTTTTGTTGGTTGAGATTGACATTTTCTTTTTCTTGTGGAACCTGTAGGTTCGGGAGTACATTGATGACACATAAGATTATGTCCACTTCTCCTCGTTCTACCAATACAACTACCTAACCCATTCTCCCTTAGNAAAAAAACCTTTGCATGGTAATCATCACCTTCTGTTAGTTGAGATTGACATTTTCCTTTTCTTGTGGAACCTGTAGGTTCGGGAGTACATTGATGACACAGAAGATTATGTACACTTCTCCTCGTTCTACGAATACAACTACCTAACCCATTTTCCCTTAGGCCATACTTGTACCCTAGTACTACGGTGGCTTCCGTTGCTTGCTTCAAATAGAGCCGAGATCCTAAATTTGACCTCTATAGCCAANAAATATGATTAATTTGTAGAACTCATCCAAGTTGAATATGTTCAGATTCAATTTTTTTGTGGCCAACCAAGCCAAAATACCAAGCTTAGACTTTCTCCTCATTCTACCAATACAACTACCTAACCCATTTTCCCTTGGGCCATACTTGTACCCTAGTACTACGGTGACTTCCGCTGCTTGCTTCAAATAGAGCTGAGATCCTAAATTTGACCTCTATAGCCAAACAAGTCCCAAGTAAACCACCACAAGTGTTAGAGATCAACATACCTAAATTTAACTCTATTTTTTTACCACACGTGTCCATCTAGTAAATGATTACTTCAATAAACGCTTACCAGCATGTTAATAATGTACAGGACCAGGTTGCTCATCCCTTGGATATGGAGCCATGGAGGAACTAGGACCCTTCAGAGTCAACAGTGATGGACAGACTCTATTCCGCAATGACTATGCATGGAACGAAGGTAAGTGGAATCCATGTTCTTTTTTGTAGTTAATGAAGACGTGCCACGGAATTAAATCAACCAACAATTGACAGTGGCAAACGTACTATTCCTGGAGTCCCCGGCTGGCGTGGGTTTTTCATATTCAAACACAACTTCTGACTATGAGAAAAATGGAGACAAGAGAACAGCAGAAGATTCTTACGCTTTTGTTATAAACTGGCTTGAGAGATTCCCCCAGTACAAGACCCGAGACTTCTTCATAACTGGAGAGAGCTATGCTGGTCATTATGTGCCCCAGCTTGCTCACACCATCCTATCAAGGAACAATAACACGAACCAAACAATCATTAATCTCAAGGGCATTGCAGTGAGTATATCAAATCATCATTTGCTCTTTGAATGCATCAGTTTTGATCACACTTCCATTCAGAAGACTAAAACCAAATTTCAATAAATGGTGCAGATGGGCAATGCTTGGATTGATGATAATACCAACACAAAGGGAATGTATGACTTCTACTGGACACATGCTTTGAATTCTGATGAAACCCATGCAAGAATTGACAAGTACTGTGATTATTTTACTGGAAATTATTCAGATACGTGCAATCAATATCAAAATCAAGGAGACTACGAATATGGAAATATTGACATCTACAACATTTATGCTCCACTTTGCCATTCATCGGGAAGCAAACCTGGTCCCCCTGGTTCTGTAAGTCNTGATTATTTTACTGGAAATTATTCAGATACGTGCAATCAATATCAAAATCAAGGAGACTATGAATATGGAAATATTGACATCTACAACATTTATGCTCCACTTTGCCATTCATCGGGAAGCAAACCTGGTCCCCCTGGTTCTGTAAGTCCATACTCTAGTGACATTCATGTTTAGTGACAATTACAGAACTCTGTCATGAAACAAGGAAAATAGTGAAAACAATATCATGATAGAAGGAAGATAATTTTTTTTTTTAAAGGGAGGAGGAGAGGGGGGTGGGGGGTTGTCCTCCACTGCATCATAGAGGTGGTAGTACAATTCCTGTGTTCTGGAGACAATTTAATAGTTAGATTCAACTAAAAGGAGTATTGCACACATGGTCATTGACTAGTAATGACTACACTACTATACACAATGAACACCTAGGAAGCACGGATACTTGTCGGGACGTCGCCGTGGCAGTGTCGGACACGTATCCGACACGGATACGCGTGTCCAACGGTCGGATACGTGTCCGACACTTGTAGAAATGTCCTGNCGTGGCAGTGTCGGACACGTATCCGACACGGATACGCGTGTCCAACGGTCGGATACGTGTCCGACACTTGTAGAAATGTCCTGAACAGTGGCTGTCATTTTTTTTGGTCGGATACGTCTTGGATACGTGGGGGATACGGCGGGGTTCTTTTGTTATTTTAAAAACTTAGGAGGGTCGAAACCAAAAACAAAAGGTCAAAGCTATGTCGTTTTGGCTTGAAAAAGAAAAAACTAAAACATCGTTGATCTGTGAACCGACTCCAATCGACATTCGGTGTGTGTGTGTGTGTGTGTGTGTGTGTGTGTGTGTGTGTGTGTGTGTGTGTGTGTGTGTGTGTGAGAGAGAGAGAGAGAGAGAGGAGATAAGAGAAGAGGAGGAGCTCGAGAGGACCATTGGAGGAGAAGAAGAAGGAGAGGGAAGAGGAAGGGCGACTCACCTGCGACTGCGATCGCGATCTGCGACTTGCTTCTATTTTTTTTTTTCCAGATTTACTACTGCTCTTACCTCTTCATTTTCTGATCAGTGTGGAGTATGAACTTTCAAAAAATTTAATTAGGTTAATTTGATTGGGGATTTTTAGGGTTTTCAAAAATTGAAAATTTTTTTTTGATCCGATGTTGTGTTGCCTGCTACCTTTTTTTGGTCTTGGTCATTTGTATTGTTGCCTTTTCTGTGCTAGTGTGTTGCTGCCAACTGGTTTTAAATACTGAAAATTGCTTTTCTAACTTGCTGCCTTTCGGTGCTGTGTTGCTTGCTGCCCACTGGTCTTCTCTTTTTTGTTGTGCTTCTGTCTTCTCTTTTTTTGTTGTACTTTCCTAGCTAGCTTTTTTTTTGGTCATCTATGTTGCTGCCTGCTGGTTTTGAAAATTATATATATTTTTTTAATTTTGATCTATTTCAATTTAAGTAATGTTTGCTATGTCTTGTTTGTTATTATTAATGTTGTTGTTATATATATAAAAATATACATAATTATTTTAATTAGCCATATCCTCGCCGTACTCGTATCCTACATTTTGGGATTTTGCCGTATCACCGTGTCCGTATCGTATCGGATACGACACCCGTGTCCATATCCGTGCTTCTTAGATGAACACCCTTGATACTTAACTTGAGATTAGAATGAATCCTGAATGAATTCACAACTTCCACACCGTTTTTTCTTTTAAATTAATTAGAATGCTCAGAATTGAGACCAGAATGCCATCTAACAAAACCAATAAGGATAGATTTAGGACTCACTATTTGAGCAAACCGCCATATCAGTTCATTCAAGTTAAGCCGTAAATGATCTTATTCTTAAGGCTCCATAATCAGGTGAAGTACATTGATCCCTGCTCCGACGATTACGTCTCCTCCTATCTGAATCTACATGAGGTGCAAAAAGCTCTTCATGCCATGCAAACCAGATGGTTGGCTTGTAGGTACTGTCTTTTTATTTATATTGTAGTATCATACACATGGTAACAGAGGAATCACACATTCCAACCTCAAAATTGATCAACTTCTCAAGGTCGACCTACGCATTGAACCACGTCATCTTATATCTAGATATGTATCATGTTCAAGCAGAACCACTAACTAGCTTCCCTCCTGAATCTTGCACAGGAGTTTTGGCTGGACAGATAGGCCAACAACCATTCTACCCACAATCAAGCAGCTCATGGCAAGTGGTATCAGTGTATGGGTGTACAGGTAAGTCCTACATGTTTCTGTTTGTTTGGTGCTAGTAAGTCCTACATGTTTCAATTCATATTATTCACCAAATATCCATTATTTCTAGCAATGAACGCTTGTAGTCTCTGGTGTGTTGATTTGAATAGTATTCTGACACAAACGAAAGCCTCAGAAGCAGGAGAAGAACTTGGCCATTTCACTGGGGGCAGATTGAATGCATTAAAGAGCCATAAGGAATAATTTGTCCTCCTATATTTTTAAGATAAAGCCTCATATGAAAAGAATTTCCTCAGGGAGGCCTAAGATTGTAAGGGCTTACATGAAAATCGTGTAGTAGAGCCTTGGACCAAATAGCAAATTTAGATACCAGGCGAGCCTGGCCCCCCAACCTTCTGCCTCTGTTCAGAAGATTGCATCCTTGTAATATTTTCGAACCTCTTCTACCTCAACTGGCCTGAACTACTATCTGAAACTAAGGTCCCTCAAAATACAAACTTTCTTACTGCACTAAACAGCAACTGAGACACTAAATGCACTCAAACTTGCAGCGGCGACACTGATGGACGGGTTCCAGTAACATCCTCTAGGTATTCAATAAACACCTTCAAACTTCCTGTAGTGGCTCCTTGGCGGCCATGGTATACTAACAATGAGGTAATACGTTGTGATTATTTAGTAATTCATCACCAGATATAAGTAACAGCTAATTCAAATAAGTTCATGATTACGGCAGGTTGGAGGGTACGTGGTAGGGTACAAGGGAGTCGTGCTAGCTACAGTAAGGGGAGCTGGGCATACAGTTCCTAGCTACCAACCAGAAAGAGCCCTAACCATGATCTCATCCTTCCTTCAGGGAAACCTTCCTCCGTCGTCTTGACAGGATTTCCATTTGAGTACTAGCATCATCACAAGCTTATCAAACTGAAACTAGTAATAATCAATAGAGGAGTGAATTGTTGCAAGATGAATGTTTGTTATACCCTAAATCAATACATAAAACTATTTCAATATTATTTTTCTTTTGGAAAATTTACCCATAATTAATTCAAAATCAATATGTTTGGTTTTGACTCAAACTCCATAATTTTTTTCTTTTTGAACGTAAACTCAATAATTTATCATTGAGTTTTTGACAAACGACTTATTAGAACTAAAAGTATTCATTTAATAGACAAACTTAACAATAATTTAGAATATTGTAGGATCATCCCTTCCTTCACAACAATGGAAACAAACAATCAACAATATTTATAGTATTGTGAACAACACCTGTGAACAGTGTTATGGGGTTGGATGTGTTATTTTGAGGGTTAGGGTCCGATAGATTGAAAAGAAAAAGGTTAGGATTTCGTATATGATGTTTAAGGATGTAAAGGAAACTATATCAGCTTTGATTATGGGGTTTAGAACTTTCATACTTGAAAAAAAATAGGAAAAAAAAAAAAGAAGAAAAGATAATAAGATAGGAAAAAAAAAAAGAAGAAAAGATAATAAGAGACATAGGAATCACTTCTAGGATTCCATTGGCATCACACGAGGGTTATGAATAACTTCTCACAATTTTCATAGCAAATATCTGGTGAAAAGTTGTGGAAAAATATCACTCTATCTCCATTAAATTAAACTATTACATCTCTAGATATATAGAATTTCAAGTGTTTCCTAATCCTAAAAAGGATTAGGACTCTAAAGACTTTAGGATTCCAAACATTCTAAACTCATTACAAACTAGGAAACTAATATGGACTAAAGATAGTACTGTAAATCTAGAAACATCCAACACTATAATTTGACTCAAAAGACGACCCCCAGTCGTACCATAACCCATTCCAGGAAAACTAGAAATTACAAAAATACCCATGACTCTAAAAAAACATAGAAAATACAACATAAAATAAAAATACCAGCAAACCAACTTCAAGTTCCTTAAAAATAAGACCTAACTAAACTCAAATACAATTATGCAAGGTTCCATGTGAGTTTGTCTTCAAAGCAANTCAAAATCAATATGTTTGGTTTTGACTCAAACTCCATAATTTTTTTCTTTTTGAACGTAAACTCAATAATTTATCATTGAGTTTTTGACAAACGACTTATTAGAACTAAAAGTATTCATTTAATAGACAAACTTAACAATAATTTAGAATATTGTAGGATCATCCCTTCCTTCACAACAATGGAAACAAACAATCAACAATATTTATAGTATTGTGAACAACACCTGTGAACAGTGTTATGGGGTTGGATGTGTTATTTTGAGGGTTAGGGTCCGATAGATTGAAAAGAAAAAGGTTAGGATTTCGTATATGATGTTTAAGGATGTAAAGGAAACTATATCAGCTTTGATTATGGGGTTTAGAACTTTCATACTTGAAAAAAAATAGGAAAAAAAAAAAAGAAGAAAAGATAATAAGATAGGAAAAAAAAAAAGAAGAAAAGATAATAAGAGACATAGGAATCACTTCTAGGATTCCATTGGCATCACACGAGGGTTATGAATAACTTCTCACAATTTTCATAGCAAATATCTGGTGAAAAGTTGTGGAAAAATATCACTCTATCTCCATTAAATTAAACTATTACATCTCTAGATATATAGAATTTCAAGTGTTTCCTAATCCTAAAAAGGATTAGGACTCTAAAGACTTTAGGATTCCAAACATTCTAAACTCATTACAAACTAGGAAACTAATATGGACTAAAGATAGTACTGTAAATCTAGAAACATCCAACACTATAATTTGACTCAAAAGACGACCCCCAGTCGTACCATAACCCATTCCAGGAAAACTAGAAATTACAAAAATACCCATGACTCTAAAAAAACATAGAAAATACAACATAAAATAAAAATACCAGCAAACCAACTTCAAGTTCCTTAAAAATAAGACCTAACTAAACTCAAATACAATTATGCAAGGTTCCATGTGAGTTTGTCTTCAAAGCAAGCCAAATTTTAAAGTGTATCGTGTGTTTAAATTTATATTTGCTTGACCATCTAATGGGTTGCATCACATTAGGGTTGGATCCTTGACACCTGACTCCATTCAGCCCACATCTCAATATGGAATCAAAAACAAATTAGACATTAGCAAGCAATATACACATCCACATGGACTGTCTGTCTGAATGGGATACAAGATGCCCCAACAGTGACGCTTAGAAATTTAAGAGCATATCATCAACATTTACACAGATGACAAATATATAAGAAAAAGAAAAGAAAACTTCACAAATACCAATTGTCTCAACAGTTAATCATCAAAATCATACAAATCGTGATTCGATTCGTACAATTCGCGATTCAATACGGGCACAAAAACGATTCGTATCTTCTATGAAAATCGTTTTTATGAATCATACGATTCAATTCGTGTCGCATTAATCGAACGATTCGATCATTTTTAAAAAAAAAAATAATGTTTTGGCAAAATGACGTCATTTGTCAGCTATTTGGAGCTTTCCCTCGGTGACGTCGTTTTGTCTGCTCAACGAGGGGAAGCTCCAAATAATTAATTCCATGTTTGGCCTGTACTCAACATAAAAAAAGCCATTTCAACCACAGATTCTAGAACAGTAGCCATGCTCATCAGCTGTACTTGGTACTTTTCTACTACTGTGGTTGGCGTAACATTCAATGCTGGAATTGGTAGCAAGTTGAATTGGCAAGGAGTATTGCAAGATTCAATGTTCTACTCTATTTTCCTATGACTTGGTCCAGGTAAACTTATCCTTACAAATGTAATCAGCCACCTCTAGTGAGGTATCCTTAAGCCTGACAAATGTGATAGTTCAAAATAAAAAGAAACTAATACCCANAAAAAAAAATAATGTTTTGGCAAAATGACGTCATTTGTCAGCTATGTGGAGCTTTCCCTCGTTGACGTCGTTTTGTCTGCTCAACGAGGGGAAGCTCCAAATAATTAATTCCATGTTTGGCCTGTACTACAACATAAAAAAAGTCATTTCAACCACAGATTCTAGAACAGTAGCCATGCTCATCAGCTGTACTTGGTACTTTTCTACTACTGTGGTTGGCGTAACATTCAATGCTGGAATTGGTAGCAAGTTGAATTGGCAAGGAGTATTGCAAGATTCAATGTTCTACTCTATTTTCCTATGACTTGGTCCAGGTAAACTTATCCTTACAAATGTAATCAGCCACCTCTAGTGAGGTATCCTTAAGCCTGACAAATGTGATAGTTCAAAATAAAAAGAAACTAATACCCAATAATCTAAGCAGCGGTTCTCATCCATCCAAAGTGATCTAAGCACATAACCACATCGCTATACTTTCCATACAAATCTTCTAAAACCTCAACTATTTTTATATAATTTTCCTCTTACTTTCCCTTTTGGTAAGGAAGTGATGGTGACATAATCAATTTCACAGTTTATCAAACAGCTAATGTAATGTAGCAACTCTTCTGTAAACGATGTGTAGAGAGAGAATGTAAACAGATAAGACAAAAATTCCAAAAGAGATGCACAGATAGAGAACCTAGAAGCCTTCCAGTGTCCAAATCCATATAAAGAACAACAAAAGATTAGCTATAGGCACAAACCTATAAACCACCATAACACAGCAATGTATCAAGTATCAAAATCAAAAACCGCAAAAGGCAATAAAACGTGCTAGAAATCAAAAAAGATTTGCGATAGAAAGAGGACGTACCAGAGCATTGATGAGCTCGCCGGCCGTTCTTCCCTCGTTCTCTCATCACAACGACTTTCGGCTTTGAACACAAAGAAGACAAAGCCGAAGAAAAGGAACAATAACAAGAACAAGATTGTATTCCGAAAGAACGCAAAAAGATTCCCCAGCGAAGTGCGAACTTGCAGAGCGGAGGACGACGACGGAGTATAGTAGGGAGAGAGAAAGTTGAGACCACAACCGTCCTTTGCTCTACGGCCCCACCTAACAGAATTAGGTTTAAACTAATTCTTAAAATAATCAGGTTATTTTGCCGACCGACGGGGTAAAAGGAAAAGGGATAATTACAATCACACTTCTTCTAATTTTTACTATCCCCCCTTTAGTTTCTGATATTTTTACTATTTTTATTTTTGTATTTTATATAATGCAATAACTTGTAACAAATTCTCCTTCATTCAAATAAAAACCTATTTAATAATTTGAAATATTTATTTGCCATCTCAAGTCAAATCTATGGAGATATAATAAGACATAATCAATCATAAAATCTGTAGAAAAATATATTATCTAGTCTATCAACACGGAAAATAAAATCCACTAGTACTAAATTACTTTTTTATTTGCTTTGTAACTTTTTTCAAAAGAAATATTCTCAAATATTCTCCATATATGAATCAAAATCTATCTACTAGACTAATTGTAAAAAAAAATCAATAAATTTACTAAAATGAATACCGATAATTTATTGAAAAGTATCCCAAAAATTTAATATATGTCCTTAGTGACTATTAAGACAAAATAATAGCACGTGGATTATTATGTTTTATTCAAAAGTAGCCAACGCAAATTTTAGGAACTATAAAAGCGAGTTATTATAATGTATCCAATAATAAATTTATGAGTACTATTTATTATTTTTTTAACCAAAAATAAAGTGGGTGTTTTGTGTGAAATTAGTTGTTAAAATTAAAATTATTCTATATGTTAAACAAGATTTTTGGTTTACATCGTATTAGAAAGTAAATAACCTCATTATCATTTTCATCTTTCCACTCCTTTTACACATGGAAGAAAATCTAGTAAAAGTTATAACCTAATGACATTAAATTATGATTAAGAGAGATGAGAAGTATTTGAATCGATCTTAATAAGTTAGAATTAGTCCCAAGTTTTTTTTTTATATATTTTTTTGATTGATTCGAACTCGATTTTGCTGATTGAACTTTATCTGATTAGCTCACAGTTATTGATAGGTACCAATAACAGTTGAAAATCCGAAACATGGGTATCAGAAGTAAAGCACAAAACATTTATTAAGGGATTCTTTTCCAAGGTAACAGCGAAATTAATGTAGTCATTCCATAAGTAGTGAATGTAAGAAAGCAAAGTAACTGATAAAGTACCACATTCAGATTCCTTCCCAATTCCAGCAGTGTCCAGTCTGTTTTCTGAAGCTGCTGCAGCTCGTGAAGCATGCCTCATGGCTCTTTCTTTGAACCTTCATCGTGCTACAATTGAAAGCGACAACCAGTTCCTCATTTTACTGTGCATCGGTGAAGATGTTCCACCATGGGAAATAGCTGCCTTTATAGAAGACATCAAGACTGCTGCTTGGGTCTTAAATCTTAATTTCANTTTTACTGTGCATCGGTGAAGATGTTCCACCATGGGAAATAGCTGCCTTTATAGAAGACATCAAGACTGCTGCTTCGGTCTTAAATCTTAATTTGAGATACGGGCTTCGACTTACCAATATGGTGGCTCACTGGTGGCCAAAGCTAGACTTTTTCATCCCTTACCTCAGGACTGGGTGGTGAATCCACCACCTGAGCTTAGGGACTTACTTATTTCTGATTGTAATCAATCTTTTGTTAGTTGAATGAATTTGTCCTAATCTGATCAAAAAAAAAAGAATACAAAAACAGAAGTCCCAGTGTTAGGACAACATGGTTTACTTCACAACTTATGAAGCAAGCCACCACAATCCATGGCAAGATCATTTATTCCAATAAAATGTTTAATCAATTCNGAGTCACAATTCACAGACAGTAAAAAGGAAATAAGGCAGAGAACATTTGCAAGAAACATTGATGCAACTGCAGGTATTTCTATAATACCAAGACGTTTCAAGCTGTATTAAATATAAACCTCCTTAAGTGCAGAGACTGGACATGGGAGACAGAAATAAAAATCTAGGATGTTTAGGAGAAATGAGAAGCACCACTAGAGAATCCATACCAGAACCCACTAGAAATGGAAGTTTGCTAATCCACATGTGAAAGTCACAATGAAAAATAATGAAGACTGATTTTAAAGGATAGAAAAACACATATTTATGGTCTGTTAGGCATGAGGCCTTGATGGAGAGCCAAGAAGGCATGGAAAGGGTGCGAAGAATGCCTTACTTCCATATTTTCTTGGTTAGGTAAGCAGGAAATAAAGAAGTGTAACTTGATTTTAGATTTCTAGCACTTCACCAATACATTTCTTATCCTATTACACCTTTCTCCCACTGTTGGGGGGAAACAGATATGGCGGTCCTGGGTGGAATGCCCTCACTTCCTTTCCTCTTTGCCTTCCCCTCTTTCCTACTGAACACAATACATCTATCCATCATCCCATCTTTCAGTTGTTAATGCTAGAAACTGTTTGGTTTATATTTGCTTAAATGAAATAAAGCGTTGTTTTTTGCAAAACAATGGTTTTGCACATACTGAATCCTGCCAACAATTTTTACTTATATCTAAATATAAACTGTGAAACCCAGATGCTTCATTGCAGTTCCAGATGGAAAGTTTGCAAAGCAAGTTGAATTCTTAGTTACCTTGTGAAGCATGTTGTTGTTGATATGCTGATGATTTCCTCGGTGTTGCTGCACCAATGCGCATGGGCCTGCTCGAACAGTACTCACCATTCATTTCCGTCATAGCCTGTGATCTCTCATTGTCATCTCCAAACCTTACAAAACCATAACCTTTTGAACAACCAGTATTGGCATCAATGACAACTTTAGCAGCTTTAACAGATGGATATCTACTAGCAAAAGTTTCATGCAGTAAGGTATCAGTAACATCTGCAGCTAAATCTCCTACAAATATAGAAAGATCAGAACCATTATTTGAACATTTGTCACCCATGCTAAATGTAGCCCAATTCAACCGGAAAGCTTGGTCTGTATTAGGCATCGCAATGCAGGCATAAGTCTGCAGAACTTTCTCAGCTGCAACATGTGAAAAGAATTCCACAAATCCGTAGCCCTCTGAGAAACCTGTCTGTTTATTTCGAATAACCTTAATGGATGCAACCTGCATAAGTGGTGATATTCCAACATATTAAAGAGGCAAACTAAAAATTAATGTTCAGTAAAAAGTTGAAAAGGAAGAAAAAATCAGCAAAACATCATTTATGCTATCCTCCTCTCTGTTTCGGCAATTTGGTAAGGTATAATGTTTTAAGACACCCGTAAGTTCACAATCCTAATAATTCAACAGCAATATGGTTCCCCAGATTCATAATTCCTCATCTTTTTCAACAAATTAACATGACTTATATAACATGAAAACTCCTCACACATCTAGGTACTCCTTTGCAACAATGCATTTGAAACACTTGCCCATGCCTATCAAGAATCAAAAAAACAGCTCTAAGAGAAGCAGAAGCATCTTGGTGCCCTTGAGTTACTGGAATCATGATGTTCGTATCATTTTAAAGAGTAGATATGAAGTGTGCATGCTTTGTCAATCTAATAGCAAATTTTGTCGACAACTAAATAAGGAATGCTCTTCTGATTACCAAGTATAATTACTTACATTCTTAAAATATTTATGATACATTTAATAAACATTCTGGGAGTGACTGGAAGATATAGATTGAATGCTATGCCCCTTATTGAGCTTGTCGTGCATTTGCTAAATCATCTCACAAAAGAGCTCTGACACTTAATCCGCAATTTGGAACACAGTAATTTCCTTTGTTTTAAACTTTTATTTCTAGATTTCCCTGGTAAAGCTTGTCATGCCTCTTTGCTGAGTTTTTTGGAATAGAGCTGTGTCACTCACTCCCCAATTTAAAATAAGAGAAGTTACAGATGCCACAATCCTTTCCATTGGAACAAAAGACTTCATTTGTCTTTCTCTCTTCTTTCAGAAAACAGGGGACAGTAGCAAATAAGTAAAAACACGTGGACATTCCTTAACTTTCTCAGTATAATAAGGAGTTCTGCTGAATGAAGCATGTGATAAAAGAAACAGTAAAAACCATACAAGGATCAAAAGGGAGCTTGTGTTTCAAATGGAATCAGAGAGGAACAAGACAATTTCAATGATTAATAAATGTGTAGTTCAAGTCTTCCCTTCCGATTATACACGTTGAGCACACAACACTACCTCCCCCTCGAATAGGTTTTTTAATTTTAAGCTCAATCGATTTATTTATTTTATAATAAATGGATATTACTTTTTTTGGGTAGTCAGTTCATTAGGAAGAAACATAAAGAAGCAACAATCTACATTAATTCAGAAGGAATTTTTTTGTGATGAGTTAATTAATGCCCTAGAGTGCGTAGAACTTCTTGATGAATTTAGTAGATCTCTTTAGGAGGCCCCAACGACCATGGATTAAGCAATTTTCACAGTTGGTTGTTCACAGCCTAACAGTACCTATCATTACCTTTTTTTCGATCAATATCTGCAATGTAGTACATCCAACGATAAACCCAATCAGAATTATAGAACTAAGACACAACCAAACCCAAACAGAAAAATCAAAAAAGCTCTTCTTTGTGGCAATGATACCAAAATATCAAGTTGGCTCAATCATCTTTGTCTTGATCCGTATGGGCCTCTTGAGTCCTCTATTTCCCTATTTCTTCTTCCTTGATTTGTTTTTGTGTGTAATGTGGCTTTTGTTATTTGTTTTCTTTATTATTGATAGGAATTCTCTTGTTAAGACTATGAATCGAATAAAACCATCACACACACACACACACATAAACACAACTTCCATTTTATGCATCACTCCAAACTTTTACTTATGCAACTCCTTTTAAACACCAAAAACATCTCAGATTCAGCTTAAGCATTACAATTCAACCAAAGAAGAGCAAGAGACCGCATAATATAAATTCAAAATCTAAGCATTTAAAATATCAACTAGCCAATTTATAGAGATAAACCATTAAAACTCACATCACATCTATATTAAATATGAAAAAATAGATAAGGAGGGACAGTGGACCTCTCCAGTGGAAGCAAAGCAGCTACGGAGATAATCCTCGTCCATCCAATTATGAAGGTCACCAACCCAGATCGTCCGATTCTCACCGTTCGACCCCCCTTGGTGTTGCTGAGGCTGGTGGTGGAAGTGGTGGTACGGCATGTAGTGCGGCGGGTAATGCGGCGGCCCCATCATCTGGTGCTGCATTACCATCGCCGCCGCCGGCGGATACTGCATCGCCACCCACTGCTGCTGAGGGGAAGGCACCATCGCCGGCGGCGTCGTCATCTGCTGCTGCTTATTCTGCTGCATATGTTCTTGCGGATCAGAACCATTATTCGCTTGCATCTTGAAACTCCTCTCTCTCTCTCCACTTCCTTTCTATAGAAGTATAGCAAAAGCAGCGAGAAACAAGGATTAATTATAGTTATAGAATATGTATATCTGTAGAGAAAGATAGAGAATATGTGTATGTATAAGCGAATACGAGCTTTAGAGAGAGAAGATTACACAGAGAGGATGGAGGGATAGAGAGAGACGGAGAGGTGCCTGAAGGAGTGGATTTATTATGAATTTAGAGCCGTGGGATGAAACGGTTGCATATCATAGGCGTCGTCGATTTGTTAGGACGTGGATATACTAGTAGAGTAGTAGTAGTGTTTTAGTCTTGGTCGGCCGCCACATCCCTTTTCTTTCGAGTAGAGATATATTCATTTCGAGGGTTTTGTTTCTCTTTTTTTGGTAAGGCTGTCATGGAGATGGAGTGGTTGGTGCCGTGATGAGTAAAAAGTCGCATTTCTCTCCCTTCATACTTATAGACGTGACTTATACCGAGCAGCTCCCTAAAATTATCGGTCAAAATATATTTAAATATTATATTTTTTAATTTTAATTAATTATTTTTATAATTTCATTTTAACAATGCTTATCATCTTAACTAACTATTTCAATTAATTTTTAATAATATCTATATCTATATCTATATCTATAATCTATATTACTTATAAATATCAGCATGTGCAAAAAAATTTTGATTTTCTATTTCACCCTTAATTATTACCTTAAAGATAATTATGCCCACAAAATAATAGCTTGATAAATTTATCTCTATGACTTCTAATTGTTTTGCTAGATAAACTTTATCACTAATATTCTAAATTTTTGCTAGATAAACTTTATAACTATATATTAGTTAGATAAATTTTATCTCTATAATTTTCAAAATTTTTGCTAGGTAAACTTTATCGTTATAACTTGCCAATACATTCTTCATTTCTATTCAATTGGCAAACTTACTACAATTCTAATACCATGGGAAATAAAATTGTTTTTTTTTAGGTAATAAACACAATCATCGAAAATTCATTATTCATTGGTATATCTATATAATAAAGTAACTTACAATTCAAATTTCAAAAGATAAACAAAATGACTTTTACTATTTGCGATCTCAATCGCCTAAGGGTGTGTTTGGAGTAATTTTTTAAAAGTATTTCTAGAAATTATTTCTCATAAGTACTTTAAATAAATAATAATGTTTGAAACCGCCTTACCACTACCTTTACCACCCACACCCCCCACCACTATCGTCATTGCAGTCGTCACCACCACCACCACTACCTTTACTGCCATCGCCGCCATCTCTGTAGCCACCACCACCATCGTCGTCGTCGCCGCCACCACCACCATCACCATCGCGGCGCGTCCTTACCGCCACCACGATCATTTCCACCCACGACAACCATCACCGTCTCCTACCACCACCACCTCTCACACCCACTACAAACCGATATTTAAATTCTTTTATATCTTCTCTATGTTTGTGATTTAATTTTGGATATGAATACAAATATGTTTATTATTTATCATTTTTTATTACACTGTGCCTTCAGGCACAAGCAATAACTATAATAAAATATTAGAAGAGTAAAGAGTCAAAACCATATATTTTTCTTTCTTTCATACATGTTAGACTTTTAAAATATTTTGAACTCCTTTATTTGAAATATATATATAGATAGATAGACTTTTATCTCTCTAATAACACTATTAATATATTTGACCTTATTCACTACAGTAAATTTTTTCTTCAAAATCCCTTAAAATTGGCGTTAAATATATTATGGCCGTGCAGATTGGTGGGTTGATGGTGCTTGGAGTCATCAACTTGTAAGTTTTTTTTTTCTCTGTCAGAACATGCATATTGCTGGTATGATATTTATTTTAGTTTGTTTTTCATCTATTTGGGTGTGGTCATTGCATAAATGCTCTGTCTACCTTGCCGCAGTTTTTGGAATTGGAATTGGAATTAAAATTAGTTTGTGTTCAATTGAATTTGTGTTCCCATTACAGTGATAATGAACGCCCCAAAAAAAGGTACTTCCATGGAATGAAAAGCTTAATATATGTTGTAGATTAAATTAATCTCCTAATATTTAATTGTTTATTATTAGTAGGTTTGTAGTGTTTTAGGAGTTGTTATTATATTATGAGTAGAATTAGTTTTGTTACCACACTTCTTGAATTCATGTGGTGATTGAATAGTTTTATATTAGTGAATTATATTTAGGAATGTTTTTGGTCTTGTGTTGTAATGTCAGAAAGTCTATTGGATTCAAGAAGCCGTTGAATGCATATAGCAATAGTCTTCTGCTTGTCATCTTCATACACTCCGTATTTTTAAAAAATATAATTAAAAATTTTATGATCTAATTTTTTTCACGTGTGCATTTCTAGTATTTATATATGTCAATATGTGTGAAAAATCTTTGATTTTCTATTTTACCCTTAATTATTATTCTCTCCGTTCTTAAAAATCTGTCATTTTACACAAATTTTTTTGTTCCATAATATCTGTCGTTTAATGAAACTAAAGCATAATTAATATTTTTTCTTCCAAATTTACCCTTAACTTTTCAATTCATTAGATTTGGTGGAGGCTAAGTGTCTTTCATATTCCTTTCCTTCCCAATATGTATTGAATAAGGGTATTTTAGTCTTGTAAAATTAGTTTTTACTTATATTAAACATATTTAATAGTTTCCTTAATCCCTGTACAAAAATTTTAAACGACAGATATTTAGGAACGAAGGGAACGGAGGGAGTATCATAAAATCAATTATACCCACATATTTTCTAGTCTTACGTACCTATTTGACTTTTAAAATATTAGCTAGATAAACTTTATCAAAATATTATCTAGATAAACTTCATCAAAATATTAGGTAGAGAATTTTTATCTCTATGAGTTGGTAGATAAAGTTTATCTCTGAATTCTTTCTTTTTCATTTAATTTTATAAACTCTACTATAATTTTAATACCACATATTAGTAATTTTAGGTGATAAACACAACCATTCATACAGGTCTATAACTTGGTGAGAGGGACTTGGATTTCATCTCGATGCTCGGTGGTCTTTTGATTTCGCGGCCAGTGGATTCGAATTTATCACACAAGAATGTTTTGCAAAGGTGTATTGAGCATACAAAGCTTTGGCTTTTGAAGTTTGATCAACCCATTGAAGCAAATTCAGCCATTGCCTGTATGAATTACTGCTCCCAATTTGTCAATTTGTAAATTTGGAGATTTCCTTATGTTCTTTGATTGATGATTTATTTTGTAGATTCTGAGTTGAGAGATCCTAAAAATTTTTCAAGCTAGTTGCAAAAAAAAGAACTATAAGAGTTTGTCTAGTTAATTTTAGTGCGCAAGCCAAGAGTTAATGCAAAGGTAAGTGTATCAATTACTATTTCTTTTACTCTTATATCATATATTTGTTTTGAAGTTTTTTGTATGGTTCTTTGCATGTTCAACTATTTTCTAGTATTATATTTCTAAATCATTGTTTGATTACTATTTACATGAAAAAAATATATTTTTAATGGGTTGGAGTATTGTTGAACCAATACTTGCAAACCAAGTTTTTACTGAATTGATAGTTTATCAATTCTTATGTTTTACTTTATTAATTCCTATGTTTACGTTAATTTGTATGTTCTGTGACATTTAATTTTCCCTAATTTAATGTCAAGCAATTTTCTAAGATGTTGGTGTAGCAGGTCAAGTAATCGGCATAATTAAGATTACTTTATTAATTTTTATGTTTTAATTTAGTAAATTGGTGTCGCAAGTCGAATATTTGACATAATTGAGGTTAGTTTATTAGTTCCTATGTTTTAATTTATTAATTCCTATGTTTTACTTTACTAATTCTTATATTTACGTTAAAATTTTCTATGTTGATGTTTCTCTATTTTATTACAATGGGATGAAATATAAATTGTCATGTGATTTGTAATTGTCACATTCTTCTAATCTTGCTTTATGTATTCTTAAATTGACAAAAAAGTCTGATAGAAATCCTAGGCCCACATGAAAACCAATTGAATATCAAGAAATACATGAAAGAACTAAAAGTGTATAATAATGTCAAATATTCCGGTCGTTAATACTTGATGTACAAAAGGTTATACTTTTAATGTCAGAAGAAATAGTCTAAACACCATATAAGAAATAGTCTAAACACCATATATTGCAAAAAACGTTTGAAAAAATTAATCGATTAAGTACATTTTTTCTTGGTATTTTAGTTATTCATACCTTTAAAAAAAATAATTTAATTTTATTACTCATCAACTTTGTATTTTAAATAAATTTAATAAAAACTTAATTAATTAATTTTTTTTTCTCGTGCAATGCACGTGTACATTACTAGTAATTTAAAAATGCCACATAACCTAATTTGTCAACCCTATACTAATGAGGGGGATCCACAGCTTAGAGTTTTTTTTTTGGTGGGGGGGAGAGGTGTTCAGCGGCAACATTGAGGAATGGGGAGGGGAGGGGGAGATGATATCTGACTGCGGTTGAAGAAGATTGGACAACAAAAAGGATGGCAACCTTTTTATCCTTCTCCAGATCCGGCGAGCATAATAATCCTTCTAAATTTAGGTGAGGAAGATAGCTAACCAATTGAAGCAGATTTTTAGAGTCAACCTTGTTAAAATAGCTAAAAATTGGGATTTAGTTACTGGGTTGGAGATAATCTTAAGGGAGTCATAAATTTGGTCTAGAATAGATATTTTATATCTAATTTTTTAATTAATAAAAATAAAATAATATATTTAATTTAATTATATTATATTTAATATTTAAAAATTCATAAAATATAAACAGGTCAAATGTTGATAAAATATAGCATATACAAATAAAAAAATTAAAAAAAAAACTAAGTACAATTCTTCACGACAATGAAACTAATTGCATAAAATATACTGAGGTATTTCTCTATATAACAAATCAAATTCTTAGTCATTGATCACTTGCTTAATTATGTAACCTAATTTTTATAATTTCTATAGTGTTGACCCAACGTCTATGCCACTAAGGTCATTGCCTTGTACCCCCAAATTGGAAGACAATTTTAGGGCCCCAAAAAAAAAAAATTGTATAATGACATCCAATCTAGATATTGTGATATAATTTAAATATTCAATATATTTTAACAATTGACTTAGTAAGGAGTGCTAACTTTAAACAAAATACATTATTTATCCAATGTATTTGATCCTTAAATCAAGTACAATTAGTATTAGCGAAAAATTTTTAGAACTTCTTTCAAAAAAAAAATTAGGGTCATAGAATTCAACCTAATTTTTTTATCTCACCCGATATTTATATTATAGTATTATCACTTTGTAGTCTTATTATTAAAATCAATTGTCTATCATATAATAAGAATGGATAATGATTTTACATTTCTATAAGTTAAATTTGATGCCATTGTTTGATTAATTTGTTTATAATGCATAAAATGACTATAAAATAAAGTGAGTAGAAGTAGTTTACTATCTGAAATTAATCAATCATAGTTGTCTTATTAAATTTTCTTATTTAAACATAACACTATTTATCTACAATATCTTGCAATGTCTCATTTATTTTAGGACCACTCAACTTGTATAAATTTTTATTTTTGAATTCATTCAGAGAAAAATTATTTTATTAGTTAAATTAATTTTCTATTATTTTTTTATCTTAAATAAATAATATATATCATTGTATTTGATATCAGAATTTGACTTCGATTAACGTAATTTTTATTTGCAAAATTCATGTTATATCTAAAAAAAAGACAAAACAAATAATTTTTAAATAAACTATTTTAATATTTTGATAAATATTTAATATTAATATTATTACAGAATAAATATTACTAGGCCCGGCATAACATTTTCGCCCAGAACCACTAGTTGGATTGGGCTGCCCCCCGATCTCTATAACTTAAAAAATAAGTTTGACGTGTCAAAAAATTATCTAAATGTATTCGTAAAGTATTCACAAATTCATAATTATTTAGGTATGAAATTATACTAATTGATAAAATAAAAAATAATAGAATGAACACTCTAAAATATACTTAAAATTATTTAAAATTTACATAAATAATATTTATTAGAAAATTATTCAATGATGTGTCCATACCCCTTGCTTCTCAAGTGACTCCGTTCATGGATATGACAGATTAATGGAGTTAGACTAACTTTTCGTCTAGAACATACGATGAAATGTTACTCTCAACTTCAATATAAGTGTAATGAGATTTTTTATATATAATTGTGTAGTATTAAAGGACAATGCTCCCAAAAAATATCTGTATATCCATTTTATACACCAAAAAAAATGAATAACACCAGGGTATTAAAAAAAAGGATATTATACTGAAAATAAATGTTAATTGTAGACCTTATGTTTTTAATGTTGATGTTTAAATTATATATAAAATATAATTTATTTTACACGTGTCATTCACCCGGTAAAAATCCAGGGTGAGAATCAGTTCAACGTTGTACTCAATTGGTACCATCAAGAGAAGTGGACTAACAGTGATTGTGATAGATTATAGGTGGCTTAACTATGGAATGGAAGATATATCTTGGTAAGCTCGGCAATGGCCCGGGCTGGGCCATGCCTCGAAGAAGAATATTCTTACGCCTGTTTGGTACGTGAATTTGGGGAACGGGTTTGGAACATGGATCGAGGAATACACCTTCTCCAACTCATGTTTAACAAATATACATTTAACTCAAAATTTAAAATCCAACCGGATTTAAGCCAAGTCATGAAACCCATGGGTAATGAATTTCATACGTGGGTTAATGGGTTTAATATCTAAATGATATTTATACCTGCATATATCATATATGTCTCATATTATCCTATTTATTAATATAAATTTAGATTAAATTAGTTAAGGAGCACAATAGTCATTTACATATAAATATATTATAATAATAGTCATATATTATTACGTTTATCAAATATAGGTATGAACAATATTAAATATTGAATTTCATATTTGAATCTCATCTTTAATTTTAGAAGGATTTGAACAAGTTAATCTAAATTTCTCTTAAAAAACATACCAACACAGAGTCGTGTCAAACATTGGGCCTTTTTTTAGTTATTTAATTTGGCAAACCGTAATTTACACCCTTAATATATGCACTTAAGTTTTTATTTATCTCCTAAAATTTCAATTACAATTTACAACAATCCAATCTATTTTTAACTGATTTTAAGGCTTGTTCTCGCATCTAAATTCGTTAATTTACTCTCATTAATGGTCTTATATAGCTAACATGTGATTTGGATAAACGTGTATATTTGTTCAATTTTTATTTATTTTTTAATGCATAGCACATTGGATTTCATTTTTTTCCATTTAATTATAAGATAAAAAGAGTAACTAATTCAAATAAAAAGATGCTGGATGAGATTTTGACCTATATTGTGAGAAATTCTGATGCATATGAGACATAGTTTTTGTTAGTCAAATATAACTATATATGAATAAGTTACATGATGTCCTTGTGGCAAACCAGATTTGTAGGTCCCGATAAAGGAATTGAATTAACATTTTAAAGAAATAATTGTTAAAAAATCGTAAAAAAAAAAAATGTAAGAGAAGGAGACCTCGTTATTAGGCATTGAAGTTGTCGCAGCCGCTGTCTGCTCTTAGTTTTTTTCTTGGCACGGTTAATTTCATAGAATCTCTTATATTAAACACTTTAAAATTAAATAAAAATTAATTGTATATTTTAAGGTATTAGTTATTAAATTAACCTATTTAAGGTATAAGTTGTAAATTAACCTATTAAATTTGGTATGTTTTTAGCTTTTTTTTTTTTTTTTTTTTCCAATTTTGACACCTGATTGATTTACGCGTGGGAAGCTTGTTGATTCCCGATCAATCTTTTTCTTTCTCCTGTCATTCATCCGCAAACTGCATTCACTTAAACTCTCTCTCTCTCTCTCTCTCTCTCTCTCTAAATTTGTCTACACACTTTCTCTCTCTAAATACGTAAGAGAGGAGAAGTGGAGGCGGTCGTGGTCTCTGTTTCTGTGGAAGGAAAAGGAATATGCCATTTCATGGAAATGGTTCCTCGCAGACATTCTCTGATGACCCCATTTTATAATTTACGCAAACTTACAGGCACATGCTCTCTTCCCCTTCTCTCGTTGCCCTTTCCTTTCTCAGGTACCTTTCTTTCTTTCTTTCGAAATTTGTCATCTTTTTCTCTCTTTTATCGGTCTTTCTACTTTTTGGGCTATTTCGTGGAAATTTAAACCGTTATTGACAGTTATTATTTGATGGGTGGTTGTTTGATTTGAGTGTAGTAGTTGTTTTGTTAATACCCAACTTTTCTTTTGTTTGATTGGACCTTAAGTTCGTCCAAATCATTTCCTGGTTCTGTTTTTCCATCTGTGTGAAAGAACGAATTCGAACTGAACTATATAATACATGTGTGAATTTGTGTATGCATTTGAAATCAGTGAAAATTTTGTGGAATAAAAGGTCAAAAATCAAAATACTAATATTTCTCTTAAATTAGTTGTTATATCCCATTTATTTTTGACATTGATATGGGGGTGCATATCCTCTTTGTTTAGCTAATTAGATTACCATTGTGGTATTGTTTGGTAGAATCAATCAGCATAAACCCCAATTTATATGTTTTTAGAACATGTATTTGTTATTCTGGTGAACTACTTGGTTGCTGAATTGACCCTGCTGAGAAAATTTTCTTAAGTTTACTCGGGGCTTCTTCTTTGTGGTGAGTTAAGGCGACTTTGTGCTTAGATTTTGATGATTTGCCGTCTTCTTATCCACCTCCAAGTCCTCCACCATAGTTCTTCTATAAATTACCCGCCTGTTTTGTTTTCCCACACTACATACTACATAGGAATAAGCCAATGGAGTGATCTTGAGAATTTAAAACATTTTTGCTGATTATTTTTTTTACTGGAATTCCTGTGTTCAGGTTAGAAGAGTGGATTTGGTGTATGCGGAGTGGAGTTCATTTGCAAGAATTAGAATCAAGTGAATTAGCGAGAAGTTAATGTTGCTTAATGGTGTCTGATAGGCAGTCCGGTGGTTTACTAGACACTCTCAATATGGAGAGAGTTCGGACGATTTTAACTTATCCATATCCTTACCCACACGAGCATTCACGTCATGCTGTTATTGCCGTTGTGGTGGGGTGCCTCTTTTTCATTTCGTCGGACAATTTGCACACTCTCATTCAGAAATTAGACAGCAACATAAAATGGTGGTCTATGTATGCCTGCCTGCTTGGTTTTTTCTATTTCTTTTCATCTCCATTTGTAGGGAAGACAATCAAACCAAGCTATTCAAATTTTAGCCGCTGGTAAGTTCTTTGTCTGATCCTGTGTTATTATACTTGTAAGCGGTCAAATGCATGTGGTTCCACATTAATTATATCAAGAGGGGTTACTAAGATTGAGATAATAAGAATTGCTGATTGAGGGTTTTTACTCGCAGGTATATAGCCTGGATATTACTTGCAGCTGTCTACCATCTTCCCAGTTTCCTATCAATGGGAGTAGATTTGAGGATGAATCTTTCTTTGTTTTTGACAATATATGTCTCATCCATTTTATTTCTTCTTGTTTTCCATGTTATATTCCTTGGCCTCTGGTATGTTGGTCTTGTTGCTCGTGTGGCAGGAAGGAGGCCTGAGGTCCTGACAATTCTTCAAAACTGTGCCGTAAGTCCTTAATAGCCAGTATTAATTTACACAACTTATTACTTAGTATTGTATGTTGTAATTTACAAGGTGTTAATCCTTGTATATGTCTTTCTGGCCTCTTTCTCATAGGTTTTAAGCATAGCCTGCTGCGTGTTTTATAGTCACTGTGGAAATCGTGCTATTTTAAGAGAAAAAACATTTGAGAGGCGAAATTCTGGTTGGTTTTCATTTTGGAAAAAGCAAGAACGAATTCCTTGGCTTGCAAATTTCTTACGTGTGAATGAGTGGAAAGACCAGGTCTGTTCATCTTGGTTTGCTCCGGTTGGGTCTGCCAGCGATTATCCACTTTTGTCTAAGTGGGTTATTTATGGAGAGGTATAAATGGGGTTATTTTATTTAATATTATAATTCTGCACACTGTGGAGGATCTTACGCAACTATTGCCTTTTGTCCTTTTGCGTTTTCTTTTCAGTTATCTTGCAGTGGCTCTTGTGCGGAATCACCTAATGAGATATCTCCCATATACTCGTTATGGGCCACTTTTATAGGGCTCTACATTGCCAATTATGTGGTGGAAAGATCAACAGGGTGAGTGATAACTCATGACTCGATTTGAATAAGGTGTGCTTACTGAAATTTTATTGGGAAATGGGGATGGGGGTTATAGGTACCATATCCAGTAGAGGTAATTGCATGTTGTTATACTTGCCGTTGTTGTCTGGACTTTAGCTGTGTAGCCTGTAGGGAATGTGGGACTAGAGTGAGTGTTTTGTTTTTTTTGAACTGGAGGGAGATAGTGTTGAGGTTGACCATCTGATGTGGCATCATGCCAATAATGCAGTTGCCAAATCTCTCATATGGATGGTACTGCCACACACTAGATGGTGTGATACCGTGTAATGGTTGATATTTGTTGCCTGATTTATGCTTATACAATTGAGGACAGATAAAAGGGTTACTTTATGTTGATTGCTTCCCATCGATCAATTTCCAACCTGCAGATCAGTCCCATGGTAGATCTTATATTATAATCCTCAAGCAGTAGGGAAGAATTGTGAATGCTTTTATGCTCATGATTCTGCATTATCTAAGTGTCCCCCCGCTCTTTTCCCTTTCTTTTCCACTCTGGATAATTATCATATCTCTTGATCCTTGTTTTTCTGCTTCCTGTTTCATTGATGCTTGACTATTAACAGGTGGGCTCTAACTCACCCTTTGTCAGTAAAAGAGTATGAGAAGTTGAAGAAAAAGCAAATGAAGCCTGATTTCTTAGATATGGTTCCTTGGTATTCAGGGTATCTGTTCTTTACCTCTCTTCCGTGGTTTTTTCTTTGCCTTTCTTTAGTTGAGCTATGAGTTGGATGCTGTTTTAGTTTTTGTTCCTTTTTTCCTTTTGGGGTGGAGTTTTTTTTTTTGGTTGGGGGTAGGGGGGAGGGGGGAGGGAGATTGCCATTTGTGGTTGGGGAGGGGAAGATGGAAAAAAGTTCCATCAATTGTCTTCACATTGCTGGTGACTGTGTTTTGCAGGACATCAGCTGACTTGTTTAAGACAGTGTTTGACCTACTGGTATCAGTAACAGTGTTCGTTGGACGTTTTGACATGCGTATGATGCAGGTAACTATCTGTGTCAAATTATATTTGTGAAATCTGTGTTTTCTGCCATTCATTTTATTTTCCCATTGTCAAATCTCTCTCTCTCTCTCTCCATTCATATGTGTATGAGAGTGTGTGTTTATATATATATATATAGATGCTCTTTGAAGTTCACAAAACACGTAAAATATTCAGCTGGATTACTTTTCATGATTGGAAGAATCTAGATACTTTAGTAGGATTGATTTTTGTTTTTTTTTAATGTAAATTTTTCATGAGATGATCTAGGTATGTCTTAAAACATGGCACCTCAAATTAGGAATGGATGCAGGAACTATTTTGTTGCGGGCCAAATCAATCTTCTCCAAAGAGATTAAGTTGTAGTTTTGTTTGTAACAGAACCTAAATTACTTTTCAATCCTTCCGAATTTAGATTTATCATTTAAAAAAAAAAAA